ATGCGGGGCTCGATCCCAGGACCCTGGGATCATGACCTGAGCTGAAGGCAATCGCTTAACCAACTGAGCCACCCAGGCGCCCAAGATTTTATTTATTTATTTGACAGAGAGAGGCACAGCAAGAGAGGGAACACAAGCAGGGGGAGCGGGAGAGGGAGAAGCAGGCTTCCCGCCAAGCAGAGAGCCCAATGAGGGGCTCGATCCCAGGACCCTGAGATCATGACCTGAGCCGAAGGCAGACGCTTAACGACTGAGCCACCCAGGTGCCCCGTCAATGCGTTTTTTAAAAGCTGTGGGCCATCTCAGAGCCTGATGTGCACTGTGAGTCTTTACAAGGACACCAGAGCATGAAGTGTACGTTGCAAGAAGTTGTATCGACTGGGGGAGATAAGTGGTTCCTTGAAGGCCAGAGCTATATCTCGTTCATCTCCGTATCTCCCTCATTTTATTTACTTTTTTGAATGTGTTTTTTTTTTTTTAAAGATTTTATTTATTTATTTGACAGAGAGCAAGAGCAGGGGGAGCAGCAGGCAGAGGGAGAAGCAGGCTCCCCGCTGAGCATGGAGCCCGACCCGGGGCTCCATCCAGGACCCTGGGATCATGACCTGAGCCGAAGGCAGACCCTTAACCGACTGAGCCAGGCACTCCTGTATCTTCCTCATTTTAGAGTAAGGCCTTCAGGAAATGTGAGGTATGTAGGCCATGTTGGAATGAATGGCCGGAAAAAAAAAAAAAAGCTAATTCCAAGGGAAAGGTGGAGGATAAGTCCTAGAAATCAGTTGTATTCAGAACAGGTGGTAAGGCCCAGGTGTGGTTTTGCTGTACAAGGCAGGCGGGGGGAGGTCTCTCTCCGCTGAGTTAGAGGTGAGTGGGAGGAGGGTCCTCTGGGCGGTAGGAGAGGTGAAATAGGAACACAGGTGAGAAGTCGGTTGAGAGGCAGATTTGGGAATTCCTTCTACAATGTCCTCACAGCCAAGAATGAGGTCGATTCTGGTCTGGAGCGTCAACACCAGTGGGTTAGGCCAGGCTACACATTAGAATCATCTGGAAGGTTAAGAAATATTTATGCCTGGGTCCTACCTTTAGAAATTCTGACTTGATTGCTCTAGGCTGGTGGGTCCCAAACTTGTCCGCACAGTAGAATCACTTGGGGAGGGCTGTCTGCCTGGCTCAGTTGGTGGAGTGTGTGACTCTTGATCTTGTGGCTGTGAGTTTAAGCCCCATGCTGGGTGTAGAGATTACTTAAAAATAAAATCTTAGGGGCGCCTGGGTGACTCAGTCAGTTAAGTGTCTGCCTTCAGCTCAGGTCATGATCCTGGAGTCCCGGGATCGAGTCCCGCATCGGGCTCCCTGCTCAGCGGGAAGCCTGCTTCTCCCTCTGACCTTCCCCCATCTTGTGCTCTCTCATAAATAAATGAATAAATCTTAAAAAAAAAAAAAAAGTAACACATTTATGTGGTCCAAGGACCAAAGAACACAAAAAGGTAGATAGTGAAAAAGTCTCGCGTCTCTGTTGCCCTTCCATTCCTTCTGGAAGCACCGTGTGCTACTAGTATCCTGTGTTTCCTTCCAGAGACTTCATACATACACATGCATACAAACCCACATATAAAATCCTTTTTTCTTTTGAGAGAGAGAGAGGGAAGGGGGTGGTTTGCAGAGGAGAGAGAGAATCTTAAGCAGGCTCCACGCCCAGCACAGACCCATCTCAGGGCTCAATTCTACGACCCTGAGATCATGACCTGAGCCGAAATCAAGAGTCGAACGCTTAACCAACTGAACCATCCAGGCGCCCCAGTCCTTCCCTTTTTTAACACACTATTCTGTACCTTGCTTTTTCTTGTAATTGTGTACAATGATTAGAAACCATTCCATGTGCATAAAGCTTCCTTTTGGGGGCAGTGACTTGCCAGGGACCCCATGTGAGTTGGTAGCTGGCCAGGCCTCATTTCTCCTAGTGCCGGCCTCTGTGCTGGTGTGGGGTAATCAGTGGTGTGTTTGCTGCCGAGGTCGGGCTCTCCTGTCTGAGGCCACGTCCAACACGGTGTGCTTTCTGCCTCTCCTAGGGCCAGGGCCCAGAGAGGCTGGTGTCTGGCTCAGACGACTTCACCTTATTCCTGTGGTCCCCAGCAGAGGACAAGAAGCCCCTTGCACGGATGACGGGACACCAGGCCCTCATCAACCAGGTGCTCTTCTCCCCTGACTCCCGCACTGTCGCCAGTGCCTCCTTCGACAAGTCCGTCAAACTCTGGGACGGCAGGACGGGCAGGTGAGTGAGGGCGTGGAGAGGAAGGGCCCTAGTCCTCTGGAAGGAGCTTGGCTCTGCCACTTCCTGGCTGTGTGGCCTTCGCAAGCATCTAGACTTTCTGAGGCTTTGTTTCCTCTTTTGTAATATGCAGACCCTACCTCTCAGCTTCATTACCAGGGTTAAGTGAGATGGTATATTTAGGACTGGCAATATATGGGCACTGAAATGCTAGCTCCTTTCATATCAAAGGAGAGAAATGATCTTAAGATGGCCAGGCATGTGGCAGAAGTATAGGTTTGAGGTGTAATTATTTCCTGGCCCTCCTCAAAGTGTGGTCTACACACCGGCAGCTGCAGCAGCATCTGGGAGCTTGATAGCAATGCAGAACCTCGGGCCCCACCCTGACCTTGTGAATCTCAGAATCTGCATTTGCATAAGGTCACCAGGTGATTCTGCTCCCGTTAAAGTCTGAGAAGCACTGGTGTAATGAGGCACCGTGGCCTTGAGGTTAATGAGGTCACAGGAGAGGCAGAGGCACAGGCAAGAAGAGAACAGGGATGAGGGAGACCCCTGCTGGAGCCACATGGCAGCCCTTTTTTTTCAAGATAGGAAACAGAGTCCCAGAGAGGCCTAATCTTGTCCAAATAGACGTAGCTGATCTGTATTGCTCTGAAAGTTCCAGGTGGGCCTGGCCCCCTTTTACTCCATGCCACCTGCCAGCAGGCACCTTGTGCTAGGGGGGTATCAGACAGATGGGCTAAGCAGATGGCTCCGTTGGATTCTAAGTCATGCAAAGTTGTCCAGGTACAGAGCCCTGGCAAGAGGCACCCTAGAAGCAGCTCATTTGGAAAAGTTTTATAAAATCGTTATGACCTTGGTAATGATCACACTGGGGTAGGGGCTAGGCAGTAAGATTTTGTAAACGTTCCCCGGTAATTCTCATGGGCAGCTAAGGTTGAGAACCACTGCTGTGGGCGTAGGGGCCCCCTTCAGACATGTTTGAAGATCTAATACCCATCATCACCTTTTCCTGGCTCAGGTACCTGGCTTCCCTGCGTGGCCACGTGGCTGCTGTGTACCAGATCGCGTGGTCAGCCGATAGCCGGCTCCTGGTCAGCGGCAGCAGCGACAGCACGCTGAAGGTGTGGGATGTGAAGGCCCGGAAGCTGGCGGCGGACCTGCCAGGCCACGCAGATGAGGTATGGCTGGACCCTTGTGAGCAGAGGTGGGGCGGGTGGTGGGCTTGAAGCCTGGCCCTCCTGCCCCCCACCCTCCTCACTGACCTGGCTCCCCCAACCCCCACCTCGGGTTAGGTGTATGCTGTCGACTGGAGTCCAGATGGCCAGAGGGTGGCAAGTGGTGGCAAGGACAAATGCCTCCGGATGTGAGTGTGTGCTTGGCTCCCCTGCCGTTAAGTCGGTCACTCTTTGCACCTTTCCCTTTGGGTGGAGAATTCCAAGCGCTCTCCAGGGGCCGAAGACAGTGTGTGGTGTCAGGTTCTCTCGGTGGTTAAAAGGGAGGGCTGCGGAATTACAGGGAATATGGGAGACCCTGACAGTGCTCTCCAGGGGGCGAGCCCAGGGGCCCTCCAGCAAGAGGCAGTATGGTTCTCCGTTCCAGTCCTGGCTCTGGCTTTCACTGCGCAGTCTTAGGGAGCATGCTTCACCTGCCTCCTGGGGGTTACCAAGCCTCGGTAGACGGGACGTTCCAAGATAGGAGGTGAACACACTTGGGAAGCTGAAGTGTGTGTACTTGTAAAGAATAGTCGTTGTTTGCCATTAGATGCCCCCGGTGGGCATCCGAGCAGCCAGGCCCTGGGATGAGGTCTTGGCCGGGGCAGGCAGCGGGCGTCTCGCCTGAGTTTGGGTAGTTAGAGCAGAGATGGTAGCCAGGCTCTTGATGACTGAGTGAACCACAAGCTCTCCCCTGTCGTGGGCTCCTGGGATGATATGGCAGCCTCCCTTTCCCAAGATGGGATCTCCATGCTGTTCCCTCCCCTTCTGCACAGATGGAGGAGATGAGAAACCCCAAGTTCTCTGGGACCCCCACCTGGACCTGCTGCTGCCAGCTGCCTGCCCTGACACAGACCCAAGGCCAGGGTGGTGACCCTGCAAATGAGCATGGCCTGCTGCCCTTGGACAGCCCCCAGTGGGGTCCCTCCCCAGAGCAGGAGAGCAGAGGTCACGGGGGACTACCAGTGAGCTCAGCCGTTGGCCATCACTCTGTACCTTGCTGGTGGTGGGGGGCCAGGCAATGACTGGAGCCCTGCTGCCGCCCCTTCTTTCCTAAGTGTTCTTTTTACTCAGCGTCAGACCCGAGATTCTGTGACCAAATAAATCACTTCTGTTTTGTGTGTTCGGGTTGTCGTTCCTTGTCCTAGAATCCCAAGGCTCACTGGAGGACTATGCTGAGTCAGTTTGTCTAACCCTTCCCTCTGGGCTGCACCGAAACCCTGCTGACCCCGAAGTTGCCTTTCATCTCTTTCCCCTGTGCCCACGAGGGAGAGGCCGGTGGAGGCGGGGAAGACCGGCTGAAGCCCAGGAGAGTGGCCAGAGGAAAACCTGAGCCTGCGCTGTCCAGTATGGTAGACACCAGCCACATGCGCTGTCTCTGTTTCCCTGGACGGCTAGGAATGCGGTCCTGCGACGCTAGCGTACGGCTAGGACAGCATGGATCAGACCACCTCCGTCACGGCAGGGAGCTGTGTGGGCCAGGGCTGCTCGAGGGCTGCTCTCCTCCGCGCCTCTCCCACATGGCACATCTCCCGAGGTCCCGCGGCGCGGCGAGCACTGTGCTGGGCTCTCGGGGTACAGAGCGGAAGGCGACAGCTGTCCCAGCTGTCCCGGAGCGTGCAGGGGTGAGAGCTGCAGCAGCAGGGGGTGTGGCGTGACAGGGGAAAATGGTTCTTTGGCCGAGGACGGCTTTCATGGAATGAAGGGAATCCCTACCGGATGTCCTCAGACTCTCGACCAAGATCTTGCCTTCCAAGCATCCTGCCAACACTTTCTCCTGTTTCAATGCTCAGGCGATCTGCTCAGGGTGGATTCTAAACTGTCCTTGTACAGACCGCCCAGGGCCATGGCGTTTCTAACCTCTTGTCCCTCCCCCCACCCTGCACTCACGCTCGGCTTCTCAGTCTCCACCTTGCACGTCTCTGCACGGAGGCTGCACGAAGGGCAAAGGAGGGGCGCCGACTGCCGAGTGCCTACCCTGCATGGGCACTTGTCCTCCCATGAGGACACTCCCATGAGCCTCACGGTAACTCTGCAGTCACGCTTGTAGGGTTCTCGCGTCCCTGAACCAGCCCGGGGAGCTTAAACGGTTTGTCCGTGCCCTCACATCCAGGAAAAACCAGGAGGAAATCAGACCGCGCCCCCAACCTGCGCACTTCGCACCCTGTCCTTCCAGAGCTCGAATCATGTTGACACGCTACAGGCTGCCACCACCTCTGTCCAGCATTGCTGTCTTTCCTGGTCTTTGAGTAACATTTCTTCCTCGCATGGGGACAGGGATGATGTTGGCAGAGCCCAGCAGTAGGTGGGGATAGGATCCCATTGCCCGGCCACACTTGTGTTTCATGGCCCCTACCCCCCAACCTGCACTCCGTGCCCCGGCAGAAGCTAGGAGGGTGAATGGCAGCCCACCCTGCTGTTGGCATGAAACAGAAGTCGGGGTGCTAGGTGACCTGTGGTGCTTTAATGAGGGATCTGGACCCAGCCCGAATCTGGGGAGGGGGATGCCTAGCAGCTGTGGGCAGTGGCGGACCTGACCTGGACTCTGGTGTCTCCAGGTGAGTGGAGCTCCTAGCCTTGGCCCCAACCCAGGGGTGGAGTTTGGGGACCACCACCACCAGCCCCTGGGCGGGCTAGTCAGCAGTTCCTGGCATGGTGCTGGTGGTCCCATCTCACGATTCTGGTTCCTGAGAGCCCTGGGCTAAAGCTGAAGGTAGGTGAGGGGCTTCCTGGGGCCCTCCTTAGTAGGGAAATAGGTATTCCAGATCTTCGAGCTTCCGCATGTCCTCCAGCCCTAGGGACACGGTTTTCCTCTGGGGTTCCTTGCGCTGCACAGTGATCTGGATGGGGTTGTTCTCAGGGAAGCTGTTCAAGTCAGCGGCCACGGTTGCAAACTGAAATAAAACACAACCCCTCAGAATTCCTTCCCAGACCTGACCCTAGCTCAGCTCTTTGTTGGTCAGATGGGGTCTTGGATAGCCTTACCACCTACTCATGGGCACCCGAAACAGGTACGAACCCATGCCTTCCCTGTTGTGTGAGGTTTCCAACCCCAGAGCTATCTGTCCTCAGGCCTCCCCCCACGCCCCTGCCCACCTCCCTTCCCTTCTTTGTCCCCCTTTTGCCTCTTCCCTGTGTTCCCTCAATGCCCTTCACTCCCTGGCCTGCTCACAATTCTTAGTACTGAGTTGAAGAATCCCAAAGCTAACGGCATTGGAAGCTGGACATTACAGAGATGCTGGTGAATAGATGAGTTTGCATTCCCCAGTGGGCTCCACAGGGGCTTAATCCTTCAACTCCCAGAAGAAAGCAGCCTGGAATTCATGCTCATGCTCCCAGGCAGAAAGACAGCCAGCAGGAAGAAGAGCCGTGAGGGCATCAGGGTGTCCCCAGCCTCCAAAACCCCTGGCTCAGACCTCTCTCCCTGCCGCTCCCCAACCACCCCCCCCCCACGGGCTCTCCTCTCCCAGGGCTCACTTTGTAGGGCTTGCACCACTTCCCCACCCCAGCTGTGTTGGCTGCACGGACGGTGAGGCAGTAAGTTGTGTTAGGCTTCAGTTCCATCAGCTTGACGGTGGTGCCCAAGATCTTGTTGAAGATCCATGGGCGATTCTTTGCCTTGGGTGGCTCATTGTCATTTGTCTTGGCCACCTCCTGCAACAGGACCTGGTAGAAACTGACCTGCTGCTTGCCCAGGGCATAGGTCCAGGAAATCTAGAGGAAGAGAGCCCCCCAGGCTTCCTCAGACCTGCTCCAGGCTGTCCTCCCCTCCCTCCCACCCCCAGCCACGGGTCTGAGGGCCCCACTCCCATCCCCTGCTCCTCCCGGGGCTGAGGCACGGCTGATGGAAGGTGTAAGGCTTCCAAGGTGTAAGGTTTCCTGGGCAGCCCCACCCACCTCAGTGTACCCCCATCCCGTATTTCTTCTAGACTAGTTGAGAGGGCCCTTAGAGATCATCTTGTCCACCTTGCTCATTGCAGATGAGGTTACAGGTTCAGAGAGGGTGAGTGGCTGGCCTGGGGTCACACAGAGTGCCAGAGCCAAAGTTCAAAACAGTAGCTCCAGAGCCCACACACTTCGGGCTACGATGGTGGTTGCCGAGCCTGGCTAAGGAGCTCAGGGAGTTTTTACAACACTGCAGATTCTTGGCCCTGCTGCCTCCTGTCTGGTCTCCATTCCCAGTTTCCCCTCCTTCTAGGCCAGTGGTTCTCAAACTTGGGTGTGTATCAGAATACCCTAGAGGACTTGATAAAATAGATTGCTGGCCCCCACAGTTTCTGATTCAGTAGGCCCAAGGTGGAGGGGACAAGAATTTAAATTGCAAACATGTTGCCATATGATGCTGATGCTGTTGGTGGTCTGAGAACCACACTTTGAGAGACACTGCTCATCTGGGACTTCCAGATTTATCTTCCTAAAATACAGCTCAAGTTGCATCCACTGTTGGATATAAAGCTTTGCAAAAGCTGTTCTCTACTGCTTACGGAAAAATCTGTGTAGTAGCCTAACATTGTAGGACCTCTGAAAAAATGCCTCTGGACTAACTTCGCCCCTCTCTTCCCTGTCCTGGACTCTAGACAAGTGCTATTCAACATGGGGTCCACGGGCCATCGGCACCATCTGGCAACGTTAGCAGTGCAAATTCTCAGGCCCCACCCAGACCTACTGAATCAGAATCTCTAGGGATGAGGCCCAGGAATCTCATTTTTAACAAGATGATTGGATCCATAGGCACAGAAAAGTTCGAGAAGCCCTGGGTTGGGACCTGGCTGTTTGCTCCCACATTTTCCCACACGTTGCTCATATCAGCCCCTCCCTGGAATGCCGTTCTCCCATCCCTGGATGTTTACATCCTACCTCTGTATCCCAGCTCAAATGTTAACCAAAGCCACCAAGCTTACTCCTGCACCTGGAAGTAATGTTTCTTTCCCTCTGAGATCCCCGTGGCACTCGGTCTGAACTCTTCCTACAGCACCACACCCATTTCCAGCTAGCACTGGAGTTCCTTACAGACAGGGCCTCTCTCCTGAGCCAGGAGCTTGAGGTCAGGATGCAGGTGGTAGGTGTCTTCACACTCCCTATGGAGCTCAGCTCAGTGCCTGGCAGACGGGGGCGGCCAGGGAGCCTGCGCTGAATGCACCAAGAGGGAAACGTACCACAGCCGTGGAATCGCTGACAGTGTGTTCACAGATGAAGGGTGCCTCCGGCACGTCCATGACCACAGAGGACTCTGAGGGGGTCGAGGAGGTGTCTGTGTCCAGCTCAGGGTTGTCAAGGTCCAGCAGGCCCCCAGGGGTGATTTGGGACTTCGACTGGTGGGGGCAGAGGGCCAGGTCCCTCTTTTCTGTATCCTTGCCCACCGAGGAGAAGCTGAGTTTATTCAGCTCACTCTCCAGCATCCCTGCGAAGAAGCTGCTGTTGGGCTGGGTCACAGCCAGTTTGATGGGATTCAGCAAGGTGGATGAGATGGGGGAGATGCTGGTGTCGTCAGAACTGCATTCAGAGTCCTCCACTGGCATCGGCTTCCTGAGTGGGAGGGAGACAGGGGAGCCTGATGAGGGAGACCACCCCGGCCCGCACAGCCGGGAAGCTCTCCGAAGGCAGGCCTTGTGCCTGACTCGCCAGAATCCCCAGCTGCTTCTGAATAGCTCGGAACATCCTTAGCACCCTGTAGCAGGGCATCAAACCCACCAGGGCACTTACTGGAAAATGCAGATTCCTGGTCCCTGCCCTACTTTGGGATGGGACTGGGAAAGCTGCTAAAGTATCTTTTTTTTTTAATTAATATTATGTATTCATTTGAGAGAGAGAAAGAGAGCAGAAGCAGGGGGAGAGGCAGAGGCAGAGGGAGAGGGAGAAGCAGACTCCCTACTGAGCAGGGAGCCTGACATGGGGCTGGATCCCAGGACCTGGAGATCATGACCTGAGCCGAAGGCAGACGTTTAACCATCTGAGCCACCCAGGCACCGCTGCTAAAGAATCTTTAATAAGATCTTTAGACATGTCAAAAAAAAAAAAAAAAGATCTTTAGACAATTCAGAGGCATGTATTCAGAGAACCACAATTTGAGAAACACCGCTCACAGCTTAAATCCTCCTTCCAAAGTGGGGTGCAAATACTCTT